AAACTTACTTCAAAACCATGAAGTGCACTTTCTCTCCAACAAAAAACAAGGCAATGCATAAATTTCATCTTTCTATCACTAATAATGCAAACCCAAGAATTGCACTTCTCTTACCGACAACAACAAAAATCATAATTTCAGTAAAAACACATGAATGCATCTCTCTCTCTATCTCCAACAAGAAAAAAAAAAAAAAAACCATGCAATGGGTTCTTTGCCCTCTTGTATTATTCACGAGTTCCTCTATCGTTCTGTTTGTCCAGTTTCACTCTCTATCTTTTGCCGATGTTTTTCTCTCTAAAATTGTAGCTTGTTTTGTTCTCTCTAAATTTGAAATTGTGTTTCCCTCTAACCTCTGAGGATGTGTTTCTCTCTAATACTATAAACGGTTGCCTTTGCTGCGAATGGCTTGCTTCCTCCGTAAATTCGTAGGTGCTTGAGATTTTTAGATTTTGAAAATGGCTTGTCCAAAATTTAGATACACAAAAAACCTTAATTTCTATACGAAGAACATACAAAAAATGCAAAGAAAAGGAGGAAAGATCAAAATTAATAGGGATCAGAGAGAGAGGAAGTAAAAAATAAGAACACAAATAACAGTGAGAGAGACACAGTGAAAAAAAGAACAATGACACAAGGGGTAGAGAGAGATCGAAAACAAAAGATAGACACAACAACAGCACCAAAAAATTGGAGGAATGGACGTTTCGAAGGCAGAGAGAGACAAAAAGACAGTACTAGACGGTGAGAGCAATGGGGGTTTCAAAGGCAAGGGGAGAGAGAGGAGAGAGAGAGAAACTTACCATGAGAGGTGAGCAGACTTTGCCGAATGGAGAGAGAGCCCTTGCCATAGTAGAGAGAGATTACCGTAGTGAAAATGAAAACAGGGGAAATGAAGGTTAAACAAGATTTTGGATTGAGATGGAATAAAATAATTGTTAAAGTTAGTTTTTATGGTCAAAAGCAATGGTTTAAAAAACGGATCGGTGACCCGGATAAGGCTTTCAAAAAACCGATCCGGATCGGCGAATCGGCGATCCGGATCGAAAATCGGGTGAATCGGTCAGAATAAAGCTTAAAAAAAATCCGAAAAAAATA